GGAGCTCTGAGAGACGCTGGGTTCAAGATCGTGCTCGAGAAGTGCGAGTTTTTTCTCTCGGAAATCTCATTCTTGGGTTACGTGGTGACACGTGGAGGACTGCGACCAGATTCGAGGAAAGTCGCGGCGGTAAAAGATGCTCATGTCCCCACGTCAGTGACGCAAGTTCGAGCTTTCCTGGGACTAGCATCGTACTACCGTCCTTTTATCAAAGGCTTCGCTGCGATTGCACGACCTCTGACGAACCTGCTCCGACAAGACCAGCCCCCCAGTTGGGACGCAGTGCGAACAGGCCTTCGTCACCCTCAAAGGCGCTCTGACGACCGCACCTATTTCGATCCGGCCGGACCCTACGAAGCAGTCCATTCTTATCACGGACTGGCAGCCAGAGGCAATCTCCGCTATTCTAGCGCAGAAGGGGAACGACGGCCGAGAGCACATCATCGAGTACGCGTCTCGTACGATGCCAAATGAACGAAGGAACGATTCAGCCCAGCAGGGTGAATGTTATGCCGTAGTATGGGGAATTGAGCACTTCCATCCGTACTTGTACGGACAAAAGTTCCTTCTTGTAACCGATCACGAGCCATTACTGGCTCCCAAGAAGCTCACTAATTACACGGGTATGATTGGACGGTGGGCGGTGCGCCTACAGGAATACGACTTCGACATCATCCATCGAAAGACAGAGAGGCACAGCAACGCGGACGGGTTGACACGTCTGCATCGCCCCGCTACGGTACCTAAGGGTGAAGAAATCATTTTGTGGAAGGAACCGGAGTCGGCAAACGGACCTAAGTGCGAACAAGTGGCAGTCCTTCCACGTGGCACGAAGCAGGCAATTGGCAAATAGGTGACGGAAGTAATCTGGTGACTCCTCTCTCTCCCCTCTCATCCTCCTCTCTTCTCTCCCTACACGATAAGTTTTGTTATTTTTGTGAAGCGATCTCGCGCGTCTACACGATCCCTATGTGTCTTAGTGGGGAAGGGTATACAGAATGGATAGATTGCCCGACGTCATCGAAGCCGATCCCCCTCCACCTCCGCCCGTCCACCAGTTCGAGCTCGTACCGATGAGGGGCATCAGGCTTCGTCCCTGGTCCTTATCCCGTCCGCCCCTTGACCACCTCACCCTCCGCCAGATCACCACCCACGTCACCTTCCCCCGCAATCCCTTTCCAATCGACACCTTCCGTTTTTTCTACGCCACCCGTCTTGCTGTCACAGTTCATCCCCATCCCTCGACCCGGTGTGCCACCCCCGTCTTCTGTCTCCACTCCCTTCTCTTCAATGCCGCATGGCGAGGTCACAACATCATCGAGGTTTACTGCACGATCACGGGGACTATCCCCGCATGCGAAAACCACGACCACTTCCGCACGGCACTCTTCCAAACTTTCACCAACCTCTACCCCGTCTATCTCGCCTCCCTTCCTCATAGTGGTAATCGATTCCCTCGCTTCCAACAGATCATCCGATATCAGAAGCTTCCAATGACAGTAGCGGGAATGGAGAATTTCCTACCCCCGCTCCCGACTAGCCCACCCCCTCGCCATGCCCCCATGTATCGTCTTCCATTTAAGCTTCCCGTTGGTCATTGATGCACGGTTGATCACTGCGTGCCACGGAGATGGCACAAATAATCCCCTCCTTGGACTGAAGAAGAGCCCTTCCTGAGGAAACTGTAGGATAGAGCCACGTGTGCCACCCTGGATGACGTCCACACTCTTTCGAACGGTAAGTGGCAACGTAGAAAGCTCCGCGTGTCGATCAATTAGAGAGATCAACACGTGTCATGATTCAAGCAAGCGGGAGTTTGCTTAAGATTGGAACCCCCTGGGCGTCACATATGTGGCGAACCAATTTCTGTTTCGCGCGATGACAATGAGGGGTCCTAAGATGGGAAGGTTGGGCCAATTACGGGAGATCGGGATCGAAGGGAAATTGCATTGGTGTCCTCGCTTCTTCGTCTTTTTTGCGTCGCTTCTTTTCTGAATGGCTGGGTTCAGGGCCGGGCAAGTCCCAAGATGGCCGATTGAGTGCCTGTCGCGCCGACAAAGGCACGATTAATAATGGTTGACGCCGCTTCCTCCTTGTTCTGTTGTCGGGTTTTAGACGCGGAGATCGCACGGGAATTTTGCTTCGAATTTTCTTTTCCTTTTGAATCTTGTCGAGCCTTGACGGCTCTCAGAATTTCTTTTCGGAATTTGGATTTTATTAAAAGTTATTTTTGCATTAGCTAGGAATTCAGGAATATAGGATTTCTTTTGGCGCGCGCTGCCTTGTTGCTCGCGCACTTCTTTTTGCGGCTGCAACGGAGCTCTGATTAGTCGACGCCCTTAATCTTGCAAGTAACTGTAATTTTGGGCGGGCGCCATTGTAACTGTATCTTTCTTCTTGGGCTTTGTCTTTCCCGCTCTCTCTTCCCC